TCTTTCAGTGCTTGTCTCACACATTTGTAATCAACAATACCCAGTTAATTTTTAATATTTCTGAAAAACCTCCCTCTATTATAGCAGATACTATATTCTTATGCCTAGTGTAAAATTCAACAATGCATTTTGCAATGTGTGTGTGTATTTTTTTTTTCTCAAATCAGCGACCACACCACATATTATACATACTTGGTTTTCTTTCGGATTTCTTCCACAAGCTGTTTGATATGGTCCTCCATGAACTCCATTTTTTCATTTTTCCTTGCATGTGCTTTCTGGAGTCTTACTATCCTCTCAATCAAAATGGTCTTATCCACTTCTGGAAAATGATCAACAACTACTGAAGAGCCACTGTTTTCTGGGGAACGATCTTCATTACTGCTTCGAGCATTAAGAGATCCTGTCAGAAAAAAATGGTTAACTTTTTATTATGAATGCTGTTCTTGTCCCAAACATTTATTAGTTATTAGAATTGTGTTAATAATTTCTATCATAAAGTGCTAGCCACATTGAAGAGCTAGCAAAATTTAGAACAATAGACTCAAAATTCCAACCATATTCTGACATCACATAGCAATCTTACATGACAATATTCAAGATTCAAAAACCCACAAAGTATCATAATCATTTCAAACGGATCAGAGCAGGTATATATACCAGATCCTTTTTCTTTTTTCCAATTGTCTTATTAGTTTTTTGTGTGTGCATGTGTCAGGAGCGACTTGAGAAACTGCAAGTTGCTTCTGGTATGACAGAATTGGCCGTCTGCAAGGACGTTGCCCAGGGGATGCCCGGATGTTCTGCTGTTTTACCATCATTGTGGGAGGTTTCTCAAATGTCCCCACATGGGGAGCTGGAGCTGACAGAGGCAGCTCATCCTGCTCTTGCAGGATTTGAACCTCTGACCTGTCGGTCTTCAGTCCTGCCAACACTAGGGTTTAACCCATTGTACCACTGGGAGCTCCATCTTATTAGTGAACACATGCAACCAAATCCTCAAATAGATACTATATATTTTTCCTGAATTGAAGAAAGCCTGTATCAGCCACGTGTCATAATCTACTCATTTCTATAGGTTAAGATACAAAATTCTTTACAATTATACAAACAAATCAGGGAGATAACACCTATTCCTTCCATCTCTCATTATATGAAATCTCAACATGCATGTGTTCAAACAAGGAATAACTTTGATGAGATGGTAGATAACTTCCAGCAAACCAAATGAAGTCAGTAGAAACTAGAGTTGGGCCCAAATCACTGTTAATGAAAATATTTGTGGTTTTTGGAGGGTAATTTCCAAAAACAGAAAGGGGAAGAGAGAGACAAAAAAAAAAGCAGTGAAACAAATTTAGAGAGATGGAAATTTTGGAAAGAGCTAAGTCTACAAAATACCTCAGGCAGGGAAGTCTGTAGTGTCTTTTTCTCTCTCTGGAAGAAGCCTCCTCCTTTTTTTCTTGGAAAGATACCTCCTCCTCCAGAGAGGGCCCTTAGAACTCGCTTTCCCAGTGGCACTAGCATAGGGTAGCCATTGAAATTCCTCTCGGAGCATGATGAGAGTCAAAGTTGTTCTCTCTCTCTGTGTCTCAGCCAATTAAAAGCCTAGTGGTGTCCATGCTCTGATTGGCTGAGAATGGACACAACCAGTGATTACAATTTCCAGAACCCTCTCTTGCGGTTTGTCTTATTTTTCAAAATGTTATGTTTAAAACTTAAAATAATTCTTAAAAATTAGTAGATTGGTTAATTGTTTTGAAACTTGGCAGGCCTGCAGTTGTAAATCGGTTCTACAACTGAGGTAGGTTTCATGCAGATAGGCCTTAAAATGGCTGAGGATTGAGCCTTTAAAGTTTCCTATAGTAGCCAATGGGCAGAATCTCTGCTGAATGAAATGGAAAACATCCCTCCCCTTTCGGGTAACTTTCTGGTAAACAAAATGAGGGGTCACACGAAAATGGACCCAAAAACGGTATGCCTTTTGGCTCGAATGTACATGACTAATAGAAACATAGATTGCACTATTCGTGCGCTTTTATATTTCTTTTCAACAATTACCAGGACCACAAACAACATACCTGATGAGCTAGAACGACTCCCCATACTGCTGACTTCTTTATCATAGTTGCCATTTTCAAGCTGCTCCAATTTTCTTCGTGCTATGGAAACAAAACACAAGATCTTTGATACAAGGCTGATAATTTAACCCCTGTATAGAAAATAAATTGTATACAACAAGATCTGTGAAATGTTAACCTTGTTGAAGTTGCTTGGTGAGGTCCTTAAGGTTTGCTGCATGTTTTCGTTTCTGAGTAACCAACTCATCTTTTAATTCATCAACCTGAGTGTTTAAATCTGCTAATGCCTTCTGTTGAGATGCCAGTTCTGTCTGCAGCACCTGAACATTGTTTCTGTGAAGCTCCTCTTCCTTTAGCAATTTGTTTGCCTAAAATGATCACAAAAGGTATGAAAAATAATTCATTTTTCTTCTTCCCTGCTAAAAAATATTTAACATAACTTTTTTAAAACCTTGCAAAGAAATGAAATAGATGTGCAGAAAAGTCTGAAATGTATGTATTCTAATCCATGTTATTATGTGTGTAAATTGTGAAAGAATGGAATCTGAGTTTGGAAAATGTATAAAAACTCCCAAAATAACTAATAGGAAAAACAGGGGCTATTTTAGAGAAACAACACTAACAACAAAATAATCTGTAACGCTGTCATGTCTGGCTGCTTTTTCACATTTTATTTATTTATTCACTTCATTTCTACCCCGCTATTCTTGACCTCGGAGGGGACTCAAGGCCGCTTACAAATCCGGCAAAAAATTCAATGCCACACAGGTAAACAATAAAACACATCTCATCAAAATATAAAGCAATCTAAACATATAAGCAATTAAAACACATATCAATAAATCAAACAGATTAAAAACCATATAAAATGCTGAGTTATGATAGTTTAAAAGGCCCAAATGCCGGGTCTGGATCAGAGGTTGAAAAGCTTTTGGGAGTTAACTCTCAGAGTTCCTCAATCAGTATAGCCACTACCATGCTGTTTTGGAGATTCTGGCAACTGCAATCCCAAAGTTAAGTTTTCCAAATTTTGATCTCACTAGGATTCTTTTTCTTGACCACATTGCTCCAGGTTTATGCCCAGAAAGACATCTACAATCCTTTGTGATACAAGAAGTCTGGCATACAAAGATGGTAAATCCAAGCATAAGAGGGAAAAGTACAATGATGGCTTACACCAAATGAAGGAAACGACTGATAAAAATTTCCATGTTTTACTTCAGGTAGGAAAAAACCCTTTGTTCCTATATTCTGGTCTGATTATAGCATCCCTATTATATTTCTACAATTTATTAGAAAACAGCAGAAGGCAAGAGAGAGAGCCCAATCTTATTCTAGGGTTTAAAATTCAATTAAAATATTAATTAAATAAATATTAGATACTGATTAATTAACAGTCCGGCTTACCAGTTCATCTCTGGCTTGCTTCACAACTTCCAACTGATTCTGTGACTCTCTTTCATTGTAGGTGATCTTATCAAGCTGCACTTGTAAGGAATTTGTTTCTGACTGTAGCTGGGCATTCTTGGTGGTCAGCTTCTCAGTGAAGACCAGTAATTCAGATTCTCTTTTCCGGCTGCCATCGATGTCCTTTTGGAAGTCATTAAGCAGATTGTTGAGACTGTCCACTTCTTCTTTCAAAGAGTTAATGTCTTGTTCATCCCTATGAAATTGAATAGAGATTTTTAAAAAGAGAATAAGAAAAGGAGTTTAAAGCAAGCCAATTGCTCGCTATAGCCTATAAGCTACAATGCCAAATACAATTCACCCAGTACTAGGGCTTCCCAGCTCCTGCATGGACATTGCAGTCAAATGTCAAGCAGCAAAGCAGGATATTTATTAAGCCTTATTGTATCTGGGTGGCAAGCTAAGATACCCTTGGGACTGTATAAGCTCTACTATAGTATTGTGGTGTTGCGGGAGAGCTGTTTATTTGATCAAAAACATCATGGCAAAGTGGAATAAAATTGAATTCTCTTTTCACCCTAACAGTGTGGCATTTATCCATGTTATATGTCTTGATGGTGCATAGTTAAATCTTTCACTCTAAAAATTGAAGATATGCTCTATTTCAGTATTCATTTTGATCAAGGGATTATTCATTACAGGCACTCCCCAAGTTACAAACAAGATAGGTTCTGTAGGTTTGTTCTTAAGTTGAATTTGTATGTATCTGGAACAGGCACATTTTAAGTGTAACTACAGCCAAACATACACACACACACTTTGGAAAGCATAGGGAGTGTTTAATTACACCGCTGTGGTTTTTGCTTTGTTGTCTGTGCCCCTTCTCAGAAGATTTCACATCACTTAGTGAATTTCCCTTCCTAGAGGCAGATTTTTCTCACTTCCTGTTGTCTAACTTCCATTTGTAACTATGAGTTGTTTTTAGTTGGATGTTTGTAAGTCGGGGGCTGCCTGTAGTTGCAAGCTGCAGGCACAGCAACTGTGTACTTCCCTATAAAAAGTCAATGTAGAAGCATTAATTGGAGCCAAGTGGTATTTATGGAGATGCAAATGTTGAGTCGGACAAATCCTATGGGATCTTTCTGATCATTAAAATATCGCTACAACGCATAATAATTACTGGTTCCAACAGATATTGGCTATGGGAGCAATTCTCTATTTATAGAAGGCTTGATTGTATTGAACTATGAAACTCATTACATATCAAAAAAACGACTTTACACACACATATACAAATCTTTTGAAGAATTAAAGGTAGCAAAACTACATCTGTGAAGCATGAGGTCAGGATGGGCAACCATAGCTTTTCAGATGTTCTCTTATTTTAAAAGTTCTATAAGTTCTATCTTAAATCAAATGGTTATATATTCATTGTCACCGTTAATATGTGCATGCTTTTATTCCTAATGTCTTTGTGATCAATATATCAACCTTAAATGTAACACAATATATAAATGTACATTTCTGAACAATTCAATAATGCTATACTATTTTTATGAATATACTTTCATGAACTGAAGGTTACCACAGACACTATATACTAAGCGACTGTTTCCACTGTATCCAAATTGACATTAGTCTTATTGACACTGCAATAAAATGGTACCTGCAATTTGCTATTTATACAGGTTGAGAATCCCTTATTTGAAATGATTTCTAATTTTGGAAGAGTTTAATACACACACACATATATAGAGAGAAGATGAGACCCAAGTCAAAACATAAAATTCATTTATGTTTCATATATACATTTTAGGAGCCCCTGGTGGCACAGTGGGTTAAACCACTGAGCTGCTGAACTTGCTAACTGAAAGGTTGGTGGTTCGAATCCGGAGTGCAGGATGAGTTCCCGCTGTTAGGCCCAGCTTCTGCCAACCTAGTAGTTCAAAAACATGCAAATGTGAGGAGATCAATAGGTACTGCTTCTCTGGGAAGGTAATGGTGCTCTATGCATGAGCACCACCATCCAAAATCGGACACTACTGGACTTAATGTCAGGGGAAACCTTTACCTTTATATACATTCTACATATAGCCTGAAGGTAATTTTATATAAAGGTGTCACTGTCACAACCACCCATTTAGACAAATTTCAGATGATTTCGGATATCAGAATTCCAGATACACAACCTGTATACTTTAGATTAGTTTATAATGAGCAATCAGAAATGTTTGGCTGTGCACATGTTTTTCAGCTATATCCATTATGTTTTAGAATAACAGCAATTTTAAGCGCTATATTTTCGCTTCAGAACAAAATAAAAATATGAAACTGCAACCACTGACCTCTGATGTTGATCCTGCAGCTGATCTATAATTTTCACTTTGTCTAACAGATTCTGAATCTCAGCCTTCTGACGATTAATTATTTCTCTGTATTTTGACAGTTCGTCTTCTGTTCTCAATCGTTCATCCTCCAGACACTTGACCTAAAGGCAACAAAAATTGTTCACATAAGTAGTATAGAGATTCTATCTAGTAGCCTTCATTACTTTACAAAAAACTTAAAATATACTAGCAATTGAACAGAGGTGTGAATCACGGAGACTTTCCAGATTAAGTTGGACCGTAAATCAAAGGATATCTATTCAACTTGCACAATGGTGAGGAATGCTGGAAATAATTTATGTAGGGGCATAATTCCTACTCTTCACAGAGATATAAACCTGGTATTTTTTTTTCTCCTTTCATTTGAAGTCCTCTTCTACCAACTGGCCATTTTCAGGCACAACAAAAACATTTAGTGATGAAAACACAGGTTAGCATGATGTAAAGGAACAGTAGTGAGCTCTGGCATCCCAAGAAGTTTGCATTCCTGTTTCACATCAGTCAGTTTTCTTTGCTCTGTCGCTCAAATCTAGCAATAGGTGGCTAAACCTAACTACTGTTAGCAAAAAGAAGTCAACTTCAATCTGTGGCTTCTTTTTACTATCCTATAATGAAGATTAATCATAGCATTAGGTTTCAGGTGGAATGCTTAACTGTAGCTAGTCAAAAACAGAAGCAGACAGTTCCAACTCACCTTTTGTAGCCACATCGAAAGATGAACAGGGAGGGAGAACCATATGAATCTCAGACTTACTAAAGCTACTTCCAGATCATACTGGTTTCATTTGACATGCAAATGCAGCCATTATCTGGGAAGGACTTCTAGGCTACTTTAAAATGCTATGGTAAAACTATTTCCTTTTAGGTTGTTAGTTTAAAACCCTGTCTTCAACCACTGTTAGTTGAATTGGCCAGTTTAGTAGATCTCAGATGCTACGCATTATTATTGAATGACTTTTTTTTTTGCTCGTGTCAGGAGTGTCAGTTAATTAAGAGGCAAAGCAAAAAGTTAGCCAGTAATATAACATTTACTGGCAACCACTAGAATGAATTCTAAGATTCAGTTTTTGTTTTTTAAACAGAAGGTACTTTTTTATCCTTACATAAATCAAGTGGCTATAATGGTATGCCAGTTCATTAATTTTAACATCTCATCAACTGGTGGCTCTATTGTGACACTCAACACTGGAATTTAACAACTATGTTTTCTATGGGTTGTAGATTTTTTTTCAGGCCATGTTCTAGAAGCATTCTCTACTGACATTTCACCTGCATCTATGGCAGGCATCCTCTGAGGTTGTGAGGTCAGGAGAGAATGCTGCTAAAACATGGCCATACAACCCAAAAAACCTACAACAACCCAGTGATTCCGGCCATTAAAGCCTTCAAAAATATATGTTTCCTATCTATTGCTTGTTTGGATACTGTCACCAGAAGAGCTTATAAAATTTTGTAGAACAGAAACTGAAAATGAAGGTTTCTATACTTTGTCAAGAGACAAATCAGCAAAGGGTGTTCAACACAGATCCTATCATATCAGATCCTAAATAATTGATATGTTACTAGCAAAACCAGAATGTTATATAAAGATTTAAAGATTGTGGCAGCATTTTAGCTCACAATACATTTCTGTAATAATCCCTGACCTTGAGCTGAACTTAAATCTGAAGAAAAAACTTTGGTAAGCTAATAGGAACTCTTTCATTTACTTGGGGAAATTAAATACAGCACAGCTGCAACTCAGAAAGAGAAAAGAAAGATCAAGTAAACCATGACACCAGACAGAGATGACTAGGCCTGGTGCAAAATCCCTAAACGTGCTGCCAATTTCAATAATTCCTATGTTGGAGGAGCACTTGAGAAACGAATTTGCTCATTTACAATTTGTGTACTAAGTAACATAACATGAGGCAATTAGATAAATAGGAGCTGCAGTGGCGTAATGGGTTAAACCCTTGTGCCTGCTGAACTGCTGACCTGAAGGCCAGCAGTTCAAAGCTGTGAGATGGAATGAGCTCCTGTCTATCAGCTCTAGCTTCCCATGCGGGGACATAAGAGAAGCCTGCCACAGGATGGTAACACATCCGGGCATCCCTTGGGCAACGTCTCTGCAGATGGCCAATTCTCTCACACCAGAAGTGCCTTGCAGTTTCTCAAGTTGCTTCTGACATGATAAAAAAAAAATAGGTAAGTAGTCTGGCAGCATTACTGTTGGGCTTCTATTTATCACCAGAACAATGCCATTCGTATCATCATTTCTTAAATACTTTAGCCGCTTAACTCTGGAGAAGCACTATTAACCTTCCACAGACCAAACAATCAGATGTGAAAATATACATTGATATATAGCTAGATAAATTACAGTCTTAGCTATCATTTTATTGTTACATTTCACTCCTCTTCCTCACCTTCGTCCTTAGTGTTCGCAGCTCATCCATACCCTCTTTAAATGTTCGCTTCACATCTTCAAGCTCTTTTATTTTGGCATGATGTATCTGTGAAAGAGACAAAGGAAAACTAATCAGAGTGGAAGAAAATGTGATTCTATTCACTGAATTCTAAATTACAATGTGGATAATTCCCTTTTTCAGTATGGCTCATGGGTGGTATTGTTATTACCTCTAGATGATCAGATCTCTCCTGCAAGTGTTTTTCCAGTTCCCCTTTTGTAAGTCGAAGTTTTACATCCAATTCATTTGATTTGATTTCTTCAGATTCCTTAGTATTGTAAGGGGGAAAGGGGAGGGTGAAGAGAAAACGAAACACCAAATTTAACATTCACCATAAATATGGGCAGAGGAGCCTGTGGCTTTCCAAACTTCCACCAACCCAGACACCACAATTAATAGCCAAGGATAATGAGAGACACAATAAAAACATCTAGAGGATGACAAGTGCTTTGGCCCTGCCCTACATAAATCATCAGCATAATTTTCCCTAACATTCTCAGGCCCAGAAAGAATACCATAACATCTATTTACTATACCATTTACTTGATAGTTAACTTTCTTATATGTGCAGCCATATTGGAATGGCCTGGACTGTGGTTTTTGGATTATGTGATTTTAATGTTTATATTAATATGTTTTTAACTCCATGTTTTAGTGTTCAATGTTGTCACGTTTTTATAATTTAATTGATAGTTATATGTTGTTGCCGTTTTATGTTAGGACTCATATGTATGTGAGGCATTATATTTTGCCATAAATATGTTGGAAACCACTTTGAGTCCCCCCACCCCTGGGATGAGAAAAACAGTATGCAACTGACGTAAATAAATAAATAAGATACTATGTCACATCTGGAAAAAGACAGCTGCTTTTTGCACTTGCATTTGACATGCAAAGTAGGGATGGGGGCAGCTGTGAACTTGTGTCAAATACATATTTCAACTATCTATGAACTATCTGCATTTTGCCACAAAAGAGATGCACATGTTCCCCTGTCAAATTGACATGGAAACAGAAAGTATAGGCATAATAAAAATATTGATTCTGATATGATAACTTCCCAATTCCTTCATCAGATCAACATCTACAGGCATAAATGACCAGGCAGAGAAATTACTTAAAAGATCACTGAACTCATATGTCCTATATTCATGCCTCCCACCCAACCTCGCTACAAAACAAAACAAGGGATGGACTTCTATGGACTTCTCTAAAGTACACAAACAATCTCATTTCTGTTTAGAACAAAGCCTAATGATGTTTAAAATCTTGCACATATTCTGTCATATGGGAAGAGTTACTGATGCAATGGCCTCTGTTAGACTGAAATGAAAAACAGCTTGTCTGAGAGGGGCAACTTGACCATGAGAATGGCTGGGTGAATATCACATGTCACATCAGTAAAGAACCTCAGGCAATATGCTTGAGCTCTAGTACTATCTGTACGACATGGCAGGTCACTATGCTCTGTCTGAGTGTTCTGTAGAGAAGTACAAAGTTGGGCACATTTAGATACACTTGAAAATTGTTTTACTGATGGTTATGAGTACAGAACTTATGAGGAGAGGGGGAAAAATCACAAACCATAATTTATCTTCCAAAGAATAATTCTATGTCGCCGATTGGCTGAGAAAGGCAGTATACAAATACAGTAAATAAATAATAATAAATAAACAAACAAGGACATCCCATTTTGGATGTATGTTGGAAAAGAATGGCACGTAATTGGGAGACAATAGCAGAGCTTGCAAAGGAAAAACACTACAAGTGGAACAATTGCTAATTTTCTTCCATTAGACATTACACCTACCTGATATGTTTTTATTATTTCTTGGCAGTTCCTTCGTATCTGATCAGCTTCTTCTTTTGCTTGGGTCAACTTTGTTGTTGCCTCTTTAAGCCGATCTTTAGTGTCCTGGAAAATAATTATTTTGGAATTACCAAAACAAGCAAGCATGTATATCATCCTGTAGAAAATAAACACTTGATTACAAAAACAAAAGAATGCACAAAAACAACAGAATTATGGCTTAGTACTGATATTGTCCAAATTATATGCAATGATTCTGTCTTTTATAAATAAAGAAATCTAAAACTTAAAGGTGAAACCCTTCATAAATTTGTGTGAGAGAAAATTCTAGTCAATTCATATGGACTTATTTTAGGGTAAACATGGACAGACAGATCAGGAGTAGCTACACTGACTTCCCACCGAGAGTAAAATGGACATCTCAATACTGTTCTTTATATGTGAGAGTCAGTCCTTGCGCACTTCTATGCATTACTATCCAGCAGAAAATTACAGTATGAATATAGGAAATGATCACCCAGTGATAATAATCAGTGTCAAGTGGTTTCGTATATGTTCTTGGCAGTGGGGTCACTATACTTTTGAATGAAATGAAGGAACCTGGTAGCATATAGGAAAGAACTGCCTGTGTTTTGCACCCAGGGGAACAGTTGTATCCACATTTTGGGCTGCACTATTTATTTATTTATTTATTTATTTGCTTTATTTCTATACCGCATTTTTCAGCCCAAACAGGCGACTCAATGCGGTTTACAAGGTACAAATTATCATAACAATGTCAGTGCAATTAAAAACACAACAAATGTAACAACAGGATCAACAACACCGATCCACAACAATTAACAAACAACATGAAACAAACATAGCGCCTCAATGAACATAGCGCCTCAACAAACATAGCGCCTCACTAGTCTTTCCAACCAAGTCTGATTAGCAGGAATATTCCCTCTAACAAAAACACTGGAACTACAAGCTATATTGTACGTTTTCATCTTACGCCATCCACATTCAATGTAGTCATTTCTAAGTTTCATTGAGCAGATGAAAGGTACTGCACAAGACCACAGACACTAAATAGATCCATTCATAAGATATGGAAGAGTAGTTCTACTGCCATCTCAGTTACATTGCAATTGTGTTAACTGAGTTCCCACATTTAGAGAATGCCTCGACAACTGAAAAATCAATTTAAAATAAAAGAGAAGTGCAGAAGTCACAGTGAAACATCCCTCTATAAGATTATGATACCAACCTTGTGTAAATCCATTTCAGCTTTCAGTTTGTTTTGGGCCCATTTTACTTTGATCACGTGAGAGTTTATTTCTTCTTTTAATTTTTCTATTTCTCTTGACATTCTGGTGGCTTCACCTTCCTTTAAAATGATAATTTTACATCAGATTGGAAATTAATCTTTCAGATTCATAAAAAGTGTAACTTAAGCTACTTTTTGTACACAGGTAAGGGAGGACACATACATAAAGAACTGACTGGAGTGGAACATAAAGTATTTGAGTCCTTCTTGGATTTGGGGATCTGTACTGTATCTGTGTGACTTCTAAGATATAAAAGACTCTTATTTCCTGGAAGCCTCTAAATCTGTCCCTTGCAATCAGATGTGATATCTGACAGTGGTATGCTAATGCACTGTATCTTAAGTAAACAGTAAATTCAAAAGACATCAGTTCTGAACTCTTAGAGCAGATTCCCTCTTGTTCCTCACTAATCATTTCTGGTTATCTCAGGTGGTTTTCCTCACAACCATGTCCTCCCACCTTCTTCATTTCTCTCTCTTTCTCCTCTCCGTGTCCTTCTTTATCACTTCCTTATTTCTTTCTCTGTGATTTGAAGTCATGTCAAATAGTTTATTGTACAAGCTCAAGTCCATGCCATAGAAGTACAGGACACACACAATAGTACTCTCAGCAATGGTTCTCAACCTGTGGGTCCCCAGATGTTTTGGCCTTCAACTCCTAGAAATCCTAACAGCTGGTAAACTGGCTGAGATTTCTGAGTTGTAGACCAATGCACGCAGAGACCCACAGGTTGAGAACCACTGCCTCAGAGCAAACAGGAAGTAACAGACAACAAAGGCCATTTGATTGGAAGTGATTTGAGGAAAGGGCACCACTATTCTGCATTCTAAATGTTAATATTAAAATCAATTTCATTAAAAAAATACTGAAAAGAAAGAGGACACAAGATGTGTGTAATACAAAAGTGTGAACTGGCCTAAGCATTATGTATTACAAAGTAGATGAAGAAAGAAACACTGTAAACCTCATGTATAAACAAATGCTTTGAGGAATAGGATTTGTAAATAACCTAATATCAAGAAATACACACAAATCACCACATGGGGGCAGCAAACTCTTTATAGTACTGAGAAATTGTTAAAAGTATTGGTGGCTTCTAACTTTGCTCTCCTTGCAAACACTGGTCATATACACATTCCACTATGTTTGTGTTGTACTATTAATCAGAAGATCTTCAAGAAAAGTGCTGTTGAAAATGCTCTTAAGGATTTACTTTGGGTAAACTCAAATGCAAGGACATGCTAGTGTCATACAATTCTAATATATATATATATATACAAAGTTATATTATATAATTACCAAACACCACAGCCTTAAGCTTTGTATCTGACATGTATGTTAGCCAGGATATTTTTCAACTTGGGTTGTTACAAGTTCAATTCACAATATTACATTTATTATTTTTTTCCAAAAACAAAAACATCATAAGTGTCTCAATGCATTGTTGAAGGCGTTCATGGCCGGAATCACTGGGTTGTTGTAGACCAAGAATAAGCCACGAGAGTAAAGATGATGATCCACCCAGAGGAAAAGTGTTCTTGCCATACATCAAGGGAACCACTGACCACATAGGGAAGCTGATGAGGAAACACAACATACAAACCACCTACAGACCCACCAAGAAAATCCAACAAATGCTACGTTCAGCAAAGGACAAGAGGGATCCTCTCACCTCCGCAGGAGCCTACCATATTCCATGCAGCTGTGGACAAGTCTACATAGGTATCACCAAACGCAGCACCCAAACACGTATCAAGGAACATGAAAGGCACTGCAGACTACTCAACCAGAGAAGTCAGCCATAGCAGAGCACCTGATGAACCAACCTGGACACAGCACATTATTTGAGAACACAGAAATGCTGGACCACTCTCACAACCACCATGTCAGACTACACAGAGAAGCCACTGAAATCCACAAGCATGTGGACAATTTCAACAGAAAGGAGGAAACCATGAAAATGAACAAAATCTGGCTACCAGTATTAAAAAAACTCAAAAATTACAACAGCAAAACAACAGAGAGTAAACAATCAGGCACGTCAAATCACCTCCCAAAGAAAGATTCCCCCAGGCACTTCCAAGCCATTAAATGCTAATCAAGGTGGACAGTTGAAACATTCACACCTAGCTCCAGCAGACAAAAGTCCTTTGTCCCACCCTGGTCTTTCCACAGATATATAAACCCATTTTCCTACTTCCAACAGACCTCACTACCTCTGAGGATGCTTGCCATAGATGCAGCCGAAACATCAGGAGAAAATGCCTCTAGAACAGTGGTTCTCAACCTGGGGTCCCCAGATGTTTTTGGCCTACAACTCCCAGAAATCCCAGCCAGTTTACCAGCTGTTAGGATTTCTGGGAGTTGGAAGGCCAAAAACATCTGGGGACCCCAGGTTGAGAACCACTGCTCTAGAACATGGCCATATAGCCCGGAAAACCTACAACAACCCAATCGTAAGTGTCTATTTGGTTATATGGTCAAACTTAGAAATATGATCTGTTCTCATTTAGATGGTCTGCTACCATAATCATCTTCATACTCTCTGTCATTACACTTAATAAACCAGATCTAGATGGGGGGGAGGGAGCCAAATTATTTGAGCGGTTTTAAAAATATCAGTTTAAACAATTGAAGCAAAGGGGAACACACAGTCTGTGAATACGCAGTCATCAAATGAGACTCAAGACAAGTAGATACCTTGGATTCAAAGAGCTGCTGCAGGCGTGCTTTTTCCTGAGAAAGTTGTTTGATTTTGTTGGTGTGCTTTTCAATTTCTTTATTTGCATCTCTCAGTTTTCTTTCAAGTATTTCTTTTTCCTTCCGGAGGTCTAGGGATTCCTTTTCTCCTCTAACATACTTCATTACCATTGCTTCCTTTTCTTGGCGAGCTTCTTCACATTTCTTGTTTGCCTTAGAACAGCAGGTATTGCAAGTTAACTTTTGCTAACAAGCAAAACTTTTGCTAACAATCATGAACATAGGTTTTCCCCCAAATGCTAGTAAGAATACACAATATAATTGAATTCATATCTGAGGAATACTCAACTTTCTATAGAGAGATTATTAAAATATAACTTAGCACAGGGCTTCTTTGAATAGTGTCTTTAGTTAAACCAGATCAGATACAGTAAAACTGTTGCTACACAAAGCAAATTACTGTCTAAAAATAAATGTGATGTAAATGAATTAATGCAGATGAATAAATACACATTAATTTCTGAACAGCAACATACAGAGACAACAGCAACATGCAGATGTAAAGAAAGAGATGCAACTGCACTATATCAATGACCTGGCTAACACAGATCATTGAACTGGTTGTTTTGAAGTTTTGGAGAGTCAGCGTAATATAATGGTTTGAATGTTAGACTAACAAGACCCAAATGCCTGCTTGGTCATGGAAATCTAGTTGGTGATCTTGCACATGTCACACTTTCAGAGTAAGGTACTGGAAACTCACTCTAAAGAAACGTTGCCAAGAAAACCCTTAGGGTTGCCACAAATTGGAAAATGATTTGAAGACAAACCATGTTTCAAGAAAAGGATAGACTGAAAGATAAAGCATTTGTTCCAGGGCAATCAAATTACATATCATCTATGTATCGCTATAAACTTTCCAACTATGGCATTTATAAATATATTAATGTTATTGTTTATTAGCCTCAAGTCATTTTTGACTTACAGTGATCTTAGGGTGAACAAATTCAGGGTTCTTTTGGCAAGATTTGTTCAGAGAGGATTTGCCATTGCTCAAAGTCATCCTCAAGGTATTGATGACCCAGTGGAGATTCAAACCCTGATTTTCTACTGTCCTTGTCCCAACGCTCAACCCATTATACCATTCTGGATCACTGAGATATGTTGGGAAATTTTAGACGCAGACTTATCATCTACTATACTAGCTGAAATAATAAAAAATACCTATTTGTCCACAACAAAAGATCTTAATAATTCAGTTAGCTCTGTATCCCTATTCCGCTCATATAGTAGTTACATATACAAGCATCCTTCTACATTTACAGTTTTTACTTTAGCAGTTTTGATAATTCACAGATTTGATAAAAATGTTCTCTGTAGAAATATCTAGGACCAATGTGATTCTATGTTCAACTTCTGCTGGTCATGCTAGCAGTCCTAGAGATTTCTAGAGATAACATATGTCTAGGGATCTCTAGGTCAGTGGCTCGCAACCTGTGGGTCCCCAGATGTTTTGGCCTACAACTCCCAGAAATCCCAGTCAGTTTACCATTGGATTTCTGGGAGTTGAAGGCCAAAACACCTGGGGATCCACAGGTTGAGAACCACTGCTCTAGGTATTCCAATGAAATTCTGTGGTCAGCTTCCAGCAGAAATTGACCATCATGCTAGAAGACCTAGGCCCCTTCCACATAGCTGAATAAAATCCCACATTATCTGCTTTGAATTGGAATATATGGAAATGTGGACTTAGATAACCCAGTTCAAAGCAGATATTCTAGGTTATATGGCTGTGTGGAAGGGCCCCTAGAAATTCCTAGACAGGTGTTCCCTTAGGTTAAAAGATATCAATTTCCTTATTTTGACTTTTCATTTCATGGTCGCTCTGTGTCCCTAACCCCAGAGAATGTGGAAGGCTGATTGTAGTTTCAATTTTGCTACATTGCACACATATAAGGCATGAAATTAAGATGTTTAAACTTCTTTGAACTTACCTGATCTGTACGAAAGGCCATTTCTTTGTGCAATTGCTGTATAGCATTTTTTGCAGCAACATCTTGAGATGTAAGTTTATCTTTAGCAGCTTTAACTTCTTTTTGGAGGTCCTCTATTCTGACCTCTAACTGCAATAAGAACAGTAAGGATACAGCATTTATTTTGGCCTTGGGCCCAATATGTGAGATACTTATTTGCAATTTCATCAGAGAACTTAAATACTGTTATATATATTGAATGTTGTTGTGTTTATAAAATCTGGAAGAATAACATTTCATACCTGTTTAATAATGTTGAGGTGCTGTTTTTCTGTTTCTGTTCTTTTCTTCAATTCATCCCTTAAATTGTCCTTTTCTGAACAAATGTCCAAAATTAGTTCCTGGTGCTTTTTGTTCTCTTTAATCAATCTGTCAATTAAAACAGAAATTGATGAGGGAAAGCCCAGTATGTAAAACCGAAAAGTTACAAGAGGGCTACCTTGGGAAACACTGAATTGTCAGAGGCCCCTTCTACACTGCCATATAAACCAGGTTATTAAAGCAGATAATCCATATTATATGCTTTGAACTGGATTATATGAGTCTACACTGCCATATAATCCTGGGCACTTCCAGAAAGGCCCTGTATCCCAGGTTTTCTGCTTTAAACTGGATTATATGAATCCCCATTGGCAGATAACCTGGGATAAACAGAAAACCTGGGATCAGATCCTGGGATACAGGGCCTGTCTGGAAAGCTTCCAGTTCAAATATGATAATCTGGATTACATATGGCAGTTCAGAAGGGGTCAAAAAGTCAAAGTTTTCTCAAGGTACAAGTTGAGCTTCCTTAGAAGTATCTATAGTTGGACCAGTTTTGGCTACAATTAAAACATTACTGTTCCTTTTCATTCATCATCTCTACACCCAAGATGATGGAACAAATTCAATTGCACTTGTTTCAAAAGTACAATGAAGAGTGAAAGAAGGCATGCAGGGCTTTCCAGGATTCCTAGACAATCGTGCATAGAGTAGTATGCATTACTAAGTCTACTGCAATTGGTTTCAATCACAGTGTAAGGGCCCTTCCACACAGCCATATAACCCAGAATATTGAGGCAGATAATCCACAATATCTGCTTTGAATTATCTGAGTCTACACTGCCATATAGTCCAGTTCAATGTGGATTTTATACAGCTGTGTGGAAGGGGCCTAAGTAGTTAAAAATAAGAGGCAGAGACGTGAACAGAGATTGCTACTTGTGCAATGGCCAAAAATTATTAGCGACTTGCCCTAAGTGCTGCTTCAGCTGCATCGTAGCTGGTTCTATTCAATTTCCAGCTGCTGAAATAACTTACCATGCTCCACCTGCCAAGAGTTCCTGCTGCCAAAATTAACACTAGCCTAATCTCCTTCGCTGCTTTGGAACAGGATGTAAAAACACACAAGCCCAGCTCTAACAGTATTGGCACTCTCAACTATGCTTCTAACAAAGCTGCTGCATCCTGAGAAAGACCACTCATATTTATGCCGATTTGTCAATAAACTAGGTCTAGATCAAGCATGGGCAAACTCTGACCCTCCAGGTGTTTTGGACTTCAGCTCTCACAATTCCTAACAGCTGGTAAGCTGGCTAGGATTTCTAGTTCAAAACACCTGAAGAGCCGAAGTTTGCCCATGCCTGATTTAGATACTAGACCGAGATCCTAGGAAAAAGGAGACTAGAGAGAGAGAAGCTCTAAAAAAGAGCAGATAGAAATACAAGATTTTGTAAGTTGACTGCACGGGAGACACCAGACTAACCTCCTACAACTAGTGTCCTTAAATTCTTGTTATAACGTGCCATTGGCCACACTGAGTAAGGCTGATGGGACCTGAAGACCAAAACCTAGAGGGTATCAGTTTGGGAAAGGGTTGCATTAGATGACGGAACACATGCAAAGGCGTTTTCTGTTGCTTTTGTTCTGTGGCTAGGCGCTTCTCATTCATCACAGTCTTGTTTTAGCCTTCAGTTTGAGTCAAGAGTCCACCTTCTGTGTCCTCAGGCTTGTCTCTTCCCATCAGTTCCTCCACCACTCACACTACATTTTCACCCCTCCTGTGATAGCCCAGCAGAATCCACAAGGCTAGTTTCCATATTACACAACAGTTATATTACAGACATTTCTATGTTACACAACAGTCATACTATAGCGGACTGCTGTCAGTGTGAGGATTCTCGGCACATATTGATATGGTAACTCTGCTCTAAAAGGTACATTCCCTGGATGGAGCATATGATATCTATGTGTTTTCCCAGCCAATTGTACATGAACATGGGAACTGCAATCAAAAGGTTTGGTGCACAAAAGTTTCTTTGCTTGTTTTTTTAAAATAGTCTCTGTTAAAACATAAATGCAGCCTTACATTTACCCGAGGAGGACAAAGAAAATTAAATGATCCCTGAGGAATAGGCCATATATTCATTTTACTCAGCTACTCTTAGGCCCCTTCCAGGCAGGACCTATATTCCAGGATCTGATCCTAGGTTTTCTATTTATCCCAGATTATCTGGCAGTGCGGAATCATATAATCCGGTTTAAAGCAGAAAACCTGGGATCGGATCCTAGGATATATAGGGCTTGTCTGGAAGGACCCCTAGATGTTATGACATAACACTAGTAAGTCTATTTTCATTAGAAGACTGACATTAGCAGGACAACAGTGACAAGACTGACATATGCAGCTTTTCCATTGTTTGTCCCAGAGCTTGGAAACATTGAACTGCCAAAACTCCCAAGCCAGCATGGGCCAGGATTCTGGTACCTGCAGAATTTCATTTTCCAAGATTTGTTTTGTCCCCAGCATATGCAAGGTATCTACATTTTTCTATTGTGGTTAGCCTTTGTATATCTGCCTAAGGATTTTTAAAGCCCCTTAAGAACATCCCAGAATTCTGCATTTAAACTGATAGACGAAAGGCAGAATTACATAAACAGATACACCTGTCAAATGGGTCATTAGGCCAAAGTCTTAAAATACAAGCATCTTTCTTGTTTAAGAAACAAATCACAAATGCTCCTACAATGCTCTACTTTAAGCACTTAGATTTTTTAAAATGAGTAGCATTTTCAGGGCAAATTACATGTTTGAAGCGTACAAAGGAATTCACTGTTGTCTAGGTAGTAAGCTGTGAAGAGAAGAATAAGCATTTGTTTAGTTTGCTGGCTGGCTGCCTTAGAATACTGCAGGCACATCAAAACCTTGAAAGATTTACAGATCAACCAGTTTTAATAATGCAGTGACCAGAAGCTGACCAAAATTTCTTCAGCTTCTGCTCAATGTGCCCTTGGGCAAGGGAAAGGGAATTGTTTATGAATGGCCAACGTCATTTTTCCAACAAGGCCCCCAGCAGTGCAGCCCAGTGTTTTGTATTCTTGTCTACAAAAGATGACATAATTATATTTTAAAAACTGACCAAATGGTTGAAAGCTTGAGGGGAGAGATACTGGTGTGCATTGGTGTGCCTATAACACAACAACAAAGCAATGTTGAACTGGCACAATGAATCAGCACTGATCTGGCAGAGCGAATACCCCAAAGCTAGTCTGCACGCAATAGTTTTGACTTATTGCCAACTGTTGCGTAATTTGAAAGAGAAAAGTTTTCACCCAAAAAGAGCATTTGAAAGTGATTATGAGTACATATTAATGAGAACATAAAACCATATGAAAAAGCCCAATATTTTGTTTGCACTGGAGTCAACCACAATAGCTCACTTCAACTTGTGTTCTAAAGCAACTGAGATGCAAAGGCACACTGGCTCAGATATGTACCCATGTATAAGACTAGACATTTTAAAAAATCCACCCAAAATTGGGTTGACTTATTCACAGGTCAGCATCAGTAGTGTACCTTAACTCTTATTTAAAGAGAAACTGCCTCTTTCTCTGATGCAGCATGGTGAAAGGGAAGAGCTTCATTCAATCCGGGAACCGAAAAGAAGCATCAAGCCCCTCTACTCTCTCCACTGTGGACATATCTCTGGCCTTTTGAATACCTGGGTGGGAAATGGTGGCAGCAGCCAGGGACGGCCACCCCGAGGCAGTATTGTACTTTCCCCTCTCTGAGGAATGACTCTCAAATTATCCATAGGTCAAAATAAAAACTATACATTTGGCCCTAAAACAAACCATTACAGCAAAGCTATCTTAACTTCACAGACAAGGGATGTCCTATTCTTGAAACTACATCTTACCTGAATTCAATGTAGGCTAGATATTGGAAAAGTTACTTTTTGGAATATTAATTGGCAGGGCTATGCTGATTGGAGGATTCTGTTTCTGTCCTTGCTTAAAACAGTGTATGCCATAAATCTACCAGTACAGTAGGACACCAAAAGAAAGCAGTTCCTTGTGACTTCTTGAAGGTTCCTGGTAAGCACAGTTGGTATTCTGGACTTAAATAACATTTCTGAAAAATCCAGCAATGGTCTTGGAGCAAAGAGTATGTGATTCTTTTCAAGTGTACATGTTGCTCATCCTATGAAGCTATAACATCTATTTACAACACACATTTTGCACTCAGTGCTATGCACACAATGCTAAGCAAACATGCACACAAGCTATGACTTTCAACTGAATTTGTGTGAGAGTTAAAATGCTGCAACAGGTGCCCGGTCAATGAGCTGGTCACACATCAGGTTTCATCTTTTGGTTGCTATACGAAGAACTGCTGTACTTACCTCTAGGTTACTGCAAACTATCCTCTAATATTGGTCACAAGGAGTATCTAAAAGATGCTAAGAAGAGTAGAAGCCACTCTCTAATTTAAATACAAGTGGTTGTGTTTGCTAATGGAATATGCTTCTGCTCATATCAGAAAGAGCACCACATTTTGGGCAATCCTTTTATCTACTACAGCTTCCTGTACACATCTCACTAAACTATCCCTCAGGAGCAAGTTTTCAAGGGGTGTAGAGGATTTAGATGTAACAGAAAGGCATTCTGGTAGCAACAAGCCACCACTGTATACAAGTCCACAGACAGATGTTAACTGCAGCAACACAGCAAAAACACAAGGTTCAGAATAATAACAGTTGGAAGAGAAAGGGCTATGTAGACTTTTTGACCAACCCACAGCGAAGTGCCCCCTTCCCATGAAAACACAACTGAGCTAAGATAAGGTTGCAGGATGGAAAGTAGTTTAACCCACAGTAATCAGGATTTCCAGCTACTTTCATTCAGTTCATGGGCTGCACTCATCTGCAGGCTAAATTTTTCTTAAAACAGCCCTGGCATTAAGTCACAAACTATACCAAATTTGTTTAAACATTTGTGCATTTTCTGAATACTGAGCACTGACTATTTACATTTTCCAAACCAAACAGTTATGTGTATACGCAGCTCCCCAAAACTGCTATACTTATCCACTGTTTAATCATAAATTTTCACATTAACTCAGATCTTGGAACAGCATATTTTTACAAGAATTCCAAGTATCCTACTGACCAAACAGACTAGGAAGTTTGAGAAGTTGTCAATTTCTAGCCTTGTTTTAGTTGCCCAGCACAAAACCCTATCTAGAGAATACCTATGTTTAAAATCTATGTGCAAATGATCAGTCAATACTCACTTCTTTATTGTGTGCTCCTGCTGAAGATATTTGTCTTGCATGCATTTTTCCAATAAAGACAATGTAGCTTCATTCTTGCACATACCATTTGAAAGTTTATGATCTTTCAATAAATCTGCTGATAGAAGTTCAGACTCTATTTCTTCCAACAAAGCCTCCTGAGAGGAAGCATTCTGTATAGTAGAGATGAGGTTCTTAGTACAATCTGTGTCATATGGGCTTCCTGAACAGACCCCAAAAGTTCTTTTCACAGGATTGTGCAATAAGTCTGTCAAGGATGAGTTTGTCCCATCAGTTTCTAAAACCTGCTGTTCATTATCTCCATCAGATAAGCAATCTACTTTCTTAGTTTCTTTTATTTGTGCTTCCAAAGGTTTAGAACAGCTACCTCCATCACCGTTAAGGTCTGGAACATGTTGCACTTCAGGTATGTCTCCATCCCCACTTGCCTCAGTAGCCTCTGAACAGGGGTCCAGCATTAATTGATTGTTTTCTTTGTCCAAGGGGATTTCCTTTTTTTCTATGTGTAGCCCATCCTGAGTTCCTGGAAATTTGTCATCTTCTACAACAGTGGTTGAGCTAGAGGATTTATCACCAGTCTTTGCTGGGTCAACTGTCTCTAGAGTTGTTTGCTCTTCCGGCAACTGCTCATCCATCTTTTCATCAGGAATCTAGGAATAAAATCCAAAATAAAGGGGTGTAATTCAAATAGAGATGGGAAAGGAATAGTGTTCTTACAATAATGTTGACAAATTTTATCAAATAACAATGCTAGATACATTTCAACAACTGAGGTTTTACATCTTTTGGTCTGTTACAAGTGAACTTAATCTCCCTTTACCAATGGCTATAATGACTTGGTTTGATGGGGGTTCAGTCCAATAATATAAGCTGCAGATTTCCCACCTCTGACCTAGTGTTTGAGATACATGGGGAATATATTTTTTTCCATGAAGTTGAACTAATAAGCTGCAGCTGTACACAACACAAACACTGAAATATCATACTGTCAATCTAGTAGCTAACAGCTATGCTGCTTACCACATAAAAACACTAACATATTGTCTCACAGTTTAATCCATATTAGGAAATGTAAAGTTCCAAAATTATTGTATTGTATTTTAGCAATTCTACAACTTGCCATGCAAAAAACAATGGGGAGCTGGACTCTACAGTTGGAATGTTGAAAATAAAATCCTAAAAATGGAAACTTCAAAATGCTCAATCAAAACAGGTTTATTTGCATTGGTAATTCCTACTTATGACTAATGAAGTGAAGACTTGGTACTCTTGAAATCTGGCTATTGTACAGACCACCTAGATGGGGTATTTTCTCTCTCTCACCATCAGGTAATAAGATACCAGGGGTCCTCAAACTTTTTCAGCTATAGAGCCCTTTTTGAAGCAAAAGTTTCTTGTGGAACCCCAAGAAATATTTAGATATTAAATATTATATTATAATGTGTGTGTGCATATGTGTGTGTGCATGTGTGTGTGTGTGTGTGTGTGTGTGTGTATGGCATAATAACAACAACAAAAACAACTTTATTTTTATATTCTGCTTCCATCTCCCCAAAGGGATTCAGGGCGGCTTACATGGGGCCAAGCCCAATCAACACAGTTAAAATATAACACATTAAAATGCATGACATCAATATAAAACAAAATAAAAACAACAGCATTATAACAATATAAAAAACAAGCATCAAAACCAACAACCAATAGTTAGTAAAGTACATAGATCACATATAGCAGCAGATCATTATAGCTTTGGATACAACAATAGTAAAGTGCAAGGACAAGATTCTGAATCCTAGCTGGGGCCAGCTATCCAGGGAATTGTCTAGTCACAGCGGAACACACAGCGGAAAATCCACGTCTTTAAGCATGTGCAAACTTTTTGACCAGCATAAAGTATTTCAGTGGAAGACCCCAGGAGCCATCTAGTCCAATCCCCTTCTGCAATGCAGGAAAAGCACAATCAAAGCACCCGCAATAGATGGCCACCCAGCCATCTTTCACAAAACTGAGGTACATTGAATTTATTTACATGTGAAAGCTTTTGTAATGTGGTACTGCCCTTTATAAATGATATAGGATTCTCTTTCTGAATCCCCTCCTCAGCCTTCACTGACCCATCACATGTATTGGACTTTAAAAGCTATAATGCCCAGCCAACATGGGTAATACAAATATAAACATGCAGGTTGACAAACACATGATACTGCTTAAAATGCACGCTCAAAACCTACCTCTTCATCAAAACCCCTTCCCTTTCATCTTGAACTCAAACAAAATCTAATCCTATATAACTACATTTGTTAGCATATCATCCTATTACTTTAGCCTCGCCTCCATTTCCTCCCTAAATTGGTTTGCCCCTAAACTAATCTTTGTGGTACAGGCTTATATCACACTGCTGTTGTTGAAACACAGTTCAACCACCACTCAGTTACCACTGAGGTGGGAGTGTCAGAGGGCATGCATGCCTGAGTCAGAATACATCTCCTAAGAGACCAGTTGCCATCCCCCCAGAGCAGGGGTAGGACATGCAACCCCCAGCAAGAGACTAATTCTTGCACATAATCATTGGACATTTTAGTGTATGGGTGTAAACCTGAGGGCTCTTCTCATAAGAAAATACCCTGTGTATCTCAAGGTACCCCTGTATTTTTTTGCATGTGGCACACTTGCATTAAAAAGACCAACTAAACTAATAGATGTAATTCAATGTTTACTTCATAGTAACTTCGGCTCTTGTTTGCAGATATTATCTCATCTGACACAGCACAATATAAGTCAGAGGAAGAGAAAATTATAACATAGAATAATGTAATGCCTTTTACACTGGCCACAATTAATAGCATAAAAATTTATATCTTGTTTATATCATTGACTGTTGCTGGTTGGTACACATGGCTTGTATGGCACACATTAACTATGTAAAGGATAACACAAAGGTGTAGGCTTCTTCACTCTCTGTGAACAGGAAATGTTAGGTGAATGATCTATTTTTATCCGACAAGCTTCCTACACATCTGCATATGGCTATTGTGATCTGCTAGCAACAGAATAATGCAAAGTAATTGCCATTTTCGTCATAGCTATGTGACTAGGAATATGTTTGCTACAAAGGCTTTTAACACCAAACATTAGAGTACCACTCACAGAAGAAATAGATCCTCACTTCCTGTTTCTTAGATCTTAGAAAGCTAAATAGAAGAGTAAACAGGATGCATAACTGCCAGTGCTCTATTTCTTATAAGCAAAGTGGTAACTTTTTAATTCCAGGCTAAAATTGCTTTGTCTCAATGGAATTAAATAGAGATATGTAGAAATAAAATATTTTAACTCTCAGTTGAAGCACAGGAACTCTCTTTTCTGTGTGTTAAATGGCATTTAAAATGTATAACATTTCGCTCAAATAAATCACTATACAAACGCCATATAAGTATATTCCTGACGGGGTATCCTTTCTGAGACTGTTCCTGTTCTTTACAGATAAGTGAGAAGCTTGTGCCCCATTAAAGTGGGACAAAGCTTTAGCATTGCCCATTGAGGAAGTAAAGTTTGATAGATTAATTACAAATTGTCCAACTAATTATGTGGCTACAGTGGAGGGTCTCTTATACATATTTGTTTCACTTCATTTAATCTTCTCCCTCTCAAATTAGACTGTGGGAACAAAAATGTCAAATATAGTATTATTAGTTACAGTGACCTTTTGTTTTCAAACTAGACATTTACAGCTCATTTTCCTTCCTTTAAAAGGACTGAATTAAATCAGCTAATACAGACACATTTTAACAATACCAATCCTATTCTAAACATCTGGTGAGAGGTGAATGGGATGTACAAAAGCCTTGCTTTTTTGGAGTAGGGCTGAGAAAATAAGATTTATTGGTGACAGAGTAGGTAATGATGGGAAAGACAGGAGGAAGTTTGATGCTAAAGCTCTGCCACAATTAAATTGTTCAAAGGTATTACTTCGCCTATAAAACAAGATTAAGATATTGTAGAATAGCTGTGGAATTTGAAAATGCAGACATATAAACATCTTCACCAACAAATCTAAACAAAACTGGAGATATTATGTGCACTTATAGTTATGTGGAAAATTATAGATAAAATAGGCAATCACGTGTCCAAAAACCAGCGTATCTGAGAAATAGATGTTCCTTGTTATTTTCATCTGCTAGTGTTGAATTTAATCTGAAAAAGTAATATGTATTTTTAAATCAATAATCTTATGGCACATGTATGTTTGTGGGAGAAAATTGAGGCTGTGAATATATAAGACTGCATGTTACCCCAAAAGTCATACCAGGGAGTGGTATGCATAAAACCAAGAAAAGGAAAATGCTTGGGCAAGGCTGGCATAGCCAAGGGGTCCAGATTCGAAGGGTGTAGCTATCTGAGTGTCATAAATATTTTACAACACCATCAAAGACTTAATTTCTACTACCAGAAAAATAGTACTCTTCTCGTCTTTTATCTCTTGTCAACCCTGAATTGTGATGACTGAAAACAAAATTATAGATTCCCCATGTCCACTCTTCCTTTCCCACACAACACAATGAAAGGCGATGGGAGAAAGTATCAGAGATTCAAAATTGCCTAATGTTAGTGAACAGAGGGTCTTTTCTTTAGCATTTTTTCATTAAAGTAATGAAGCTTTCAGATAATACTTCTGCTTCTGAGATGAAACACTTGGCACTGGCTACAGGAACAATGACTCATTAAATAAAAGCAAATTGCAGCTGTACACCTTTAGCTTACCTGTGGAACCCTTTGCACACAATATCCTTCTCACTATTTTGATCCTTACTTAATATAATGTCTTTTCATGTCAATTAAAGTCATTACATGTTCATGTACACCTAGCCAAACCCATACTATCCATGATGTTTGAAATGTTTCAGTAAACAGGAAGAGAAGACAGAGAATGAAGGGAAGAAGATGAGAGCCTTGTAAGAACTGAGTTCCTACATCTGTCTACAGTGTTCTTTTTTAAAAAACTCAAGTGGTTTTTTTTTGGGGGGGGTGTCTAAAATTTTTAACTGTATACATGAGTATATACATTACTTCATTTCTGAACATAATTCAATGTGTGGGTTATGATCTATAAAACCCTTATGCTGCATAAGGCCAGATTATCCAAAAGTCCAATATTCCTATACAAGGCTGTCTGAGTTTTAAGATTCTAGGGTGAGGGTGTTATTTCAGTGCCACTGTCCTAACAGATCTATCTGATGAAGATACGGTATATGAGAGGACCTTCTTGATAACTGCTCCCATGATATGTATCGCTATCCCAGAAGGTGGGCTGGATCTCTTTCCTTTTGCTCCACTGGAAAGCAAAGATTTTTAAAATATTTGAACAGGTTTTTAGCTATTAACTGTTTGTTGTTGGAGGGTCTGTAGAGAGTTATTCTACTTTCATTCTTATTGCCTGTATAGGTCAGTTCCTGTTTTTTTTCTTCCCCTGAGGCCCCCTTCAGGGTAAAGAAGTGACAGGGTAAAAATACTAGAAATAATAATAATAATAATAATAATAATAATAATAATAATAGAAGCTGTTTCAAATGTCCCTAGGACAGAAATTTGAACTCTTCATTGAAATCAATGAAGAAAGCAAAGAGTATGTGCCCCCACAAAAAGAAAAACCTGC